TGTAACAGCAGACACTCAGAAAGTCAGCTATTTGCCTTCTCTCTTAAATAAAATGTTTAAATGTCTATAATTTCTCGAGCGTGCAGAAATGCCGTTGGTTCATTTAATAAGCATTCAGCGAGTGCCTACAGCACATGGCCCCCTTCAATTTCCAGAACAGAATAGAAAGCAATCGAAAGTGTCATCCAGTGAAACTATCCCACCTGGCAAATGAATAGGCTGGCTTATCCGGGCACAGGCATGTTTGCATAACTGGGCTGCACTAAATGTAAGAGACAGATGCTAAGAACAGAAATAACCAACCGTGGCTTTCTGAGCGTCTCTTCTCTTCTATCCGGTCATCACAAGGGCTGATGTGCAGGAAGGGGCTAGGGGAGGAAAATGCACTGGGGAAATGGGAGGATATGTTCGTGAAAACGTGTGTCCCTTCCCTCATTTCAAAAAAAAAAAAAAAAAAAAAAAAAAAAGAAGCTCTGAGAGCAGCTCTTTGCCCATGTTGATCTTTTCCCATCGGGGTTTCTGAACATCTGGATCGAATCTGCTCCTGCGAGCCAAGGAGAAGGGAAGGCTCTTTATTAGATGCCCTCCCGGGAAGCAGGGGTAGGTCTTGGATTCTATCACCACAGGTGGAAAAAGACGACCAGCTAACAGTTCCCAAAGGACACGTCAGCAATTCTGTACCTGTCTGATGGTACAACAGCTCTTAAAATATTGCCTCCAATTTTGATGCATTTCAACCTTAGAAACGTCTGCGATCAAAGTTAAGCGGCATTTTTTGCTTACTTTCCACCTGTGCTGTTGACAGCATATTTTCTGTTTTTTTCTTCCTTGGGAGAGGCCACACTGATCGTTGGCGTTAGGGTCGGTGAAAGCATAGACATAGGCGTCTGATTGTCTTCCATTTATAAGGCATGACGAAGATGGCAATTACTATAAAAGTTTATTTTCTTCTTTGTTGAGATTGTTTTTTGTTTTTAAAAGATTTTATTTATTTATTCATGAGAGACCCAGAGAGAGCGGCAGAGACACAGGCAGAGGGAGAAGCAGGCTCCCTGCGGGGAGCCCGATGTGGGACTCGATCCCAGGATCCCGGGATCACGCCCTGAGCCAAAGGTGAAGATGCTCAACCCCTGAGCCACCCAGGCATCCCTATAGAAGTTTATTTTCTAAGTGGAAGGAAGAATCTGACATTTTATTACCAAGTATGCTGCCTGCAACAGGGCAAGAACCCAGGCACACCTCTAGATGCAGAAGACGTGACGTTAATCCTAATTATTGAGAGATTCCGTCGTTTTGCTCTGATATTGCAAGAGCTCTCCATCTCTCACCATCATGCCCAGTCCTGGCCTTGAGACCTGAGGGCGGGTCCTTCCTTAGGATCATCACTTTGGCCTGCATTTTAACTCCAAGCACCTTCTACTTTCGCTCTCAAATTCCTCTCCCATCCCTTCATTTCTTTCCCTCTCCTCTTCTTTTCCCCAGTTTTTCTTTGGTTCCTTCCCATTTCTTCTGTGTCCTTGAGTTCCAAGGGGCAGAGGCAGGGCAGGATGAGAGCAGGGGTGGTGTTCTGCTTTGCCATTTGCTGCCCGTTTGCCTGTGGAAGGGTCATTCCCTCTCTCTGAGCCTCAGTTCAAAGAACTGGGAGTCATAATACTCGATTGTGAGGATTATGTGAGCTAGTTTATGTCTACACCCATTAATTAAAAGCTACCCAAAAGAAATCGGTATTATCATTGGGATCACCCAAACAACTAGGAAAAAAATGTCACTGTCTCTGATTTGCTGCCTGGAGAGGGAAAGGAGAGAGATAGTGGTGGGAATCCAAAGTCACAGGAGGAATACGTGATTGTGTCTGCGTCTCAGTGCTGGCTAACAGCATTCCAAAGTCAGGGACAGGTGACTTTGTCTTTCCCACTCGCCTGAGCTTGAACTTGTGCCTTTCTCTCTCAGCTCAGCAGCTGGCCAGCTGCGATGGCTGGCTGTGCATGCATTTCGGGTTTCTTTCTCCTGGTGCATTTCCCCGCTCACGAGCATTGTCCACAGGTCCTCTCTGCTTGCTCTAAGCAGCTTAGGGTAAGCCAGGATTGAAAGAGCGTCCTGTCCTAAGGGTGATGACAACAGAGACCCACCCAGCAACAGGTTGGCTGGGTGTTGTTTTTCCAAAACTGGTGCCACATCCCCTTTGTTACCCTTTTCAGAATGTCTGGCCGAGTTTACAGAGAGTTTTCAGCTCTGCAATGTCACCCACTGTGCCACAATTCATCTGATCCCCTGTGGCCTTTAGCACATGTTCCTTTTGGTAAACACCAGCTTTATTGAGATAGAATTCACATACCATAAAATTAACTCTTTGAAGTACTATTCAGTGACTTTTAGTATTTTTAGAGAATTGTGCAAATATCACCACAATCCAATTTTAGAACATTTTCTTTACCTCTCTCCAAAAAAAAAAAAATCTTTACGGGCGCCTCGGTAGCTCAGTCAGTTAAGCATCTGCTTTTGGCTCAGGTCATGATCAAGGGGTCCTGGGATCGAGCCCCACCTCAGGGAGGGAGCCTGATTTTCCCTCTCCCTCTGCTTGCTGCTCTGCCTCCTTGCGCTCTCTCTCTATCTCAAATAAATGATAAAAATTTTAAAGAAAATACCCTTCAGCACTTACTATATCTTCTCTCCTCTCCCAGCCCCTGACAACCACTAATCTACTTTCTATCTCTGTGGATTTGCCTCTCTTGGACATTGCATATAAATGGAATAATATAGTATATGGCTTTTTGTGACTGGCTTCTTTCACTTAGCTTAATGTTTTTCAAGGTTCATCATGTTATACTGTGTATCATGTTATACTGTGTAAAGCTGAATCTCATCCCTCTTTATGGTTGAATAATATTTCATTGTATAGCTGTACATCTGGCTTGCCCATTCATCTGTTGGTGAACCTTTGGGCTGTTTCCACTTTGGGGCTATTTTTATTTTATTTTATTTATTTTTGAGAGAGAGAGAAAGAGAGAGCACCAGTGGGGAAGGGCAGAGTAGGGGCAGAGAGAGAGAATCCTAGGCAGGCTCCACATTCAGCTCAACGGGACTACTTTTAATAACAATACTATGAACCTTGGACTATTGGTTTTGTGTGGATGTATATTTTCATTTCTCTTGGGTTCATACCTAGAAAGGAATTGCTGAGTCCAAGAGTAACTCTATGTTTAACTTTTTCAGGACCTGCCAGACTGTTTTTCCAAAGTGGCTGCACCATTTTACATTCCCATCAGCAATGTAGGATGGCTCCTCCATTTCTTAATCCTTAGATCACATTCTATTTCATCAATTATCTCTGCATGCATATTACTACCCCACTTGGATTTAAGCTCCTGGTGGCCACACATCGCTGTGAGATTGCCACGATGTCAATCATAGCACACATCATGTTCTGAATAAATCTCAGTTATTAGCTGGACATATGTTTTTTAAATATTTTATTTATTTATCCATGAGAGACACAGAGAGAGAGGCAGAGATATAGGTAGAAGAAGCAGCAGGCTCCCTGCAGGGAGCCCAGTGAGGGACTTGATCCTGGACTCCAGGATCACGCCCAGAGAGCCAAAGGCAGACGCTAAACCACCGAGCCACCCAGGAGTCCCAGATATACTTTCTATTATAATTGCTTACAATTCATAACTAAATAGGGAAAGCCTACCTTAGGAGAAAATACAGCTCTGATTTTACACCTTCCAAGGGACCCTATACACATAAACAGGGTTACCATGTACTGGGCCCTTCCTCGACTCTTACCATCTATGACCCCACTTTTCAGATCAGGAAACTAAGACTCAAGTTACTCGTCCCAGTAATTAAGAGCAAAGCTGAAATTCAGACCTCGGTTTTCACTGCATCACGTCGTCTTTCACGTCGAAGGAATCCCATCTATTCTGCCTGCCGGAGGGGAGGGAGAGAGAGAGAGAGAGAGAGAAGCTTTTTCGAGAACTTGTGCCTTCCCTCTATAAACTTCCCCAATGGTAGGGGCCGATGTTTTGTTCCTTTCATTATCTCCCTCCTCTTGTACATAGCACTTAGTGGCAACTCAAAAGTTTACTTCTGATTATGTGAATTTTGAACAATGCTAGAATGACTAATAAGCTGAAATACAAAAATAACGTATTGCCGTCAACAGCCTAGCGCAACGCTCGCTGCGTCTATATGCGATCATATACGGTAAGCACTAGCCGCTCGCCTTCCCTCTATAAACTCCCCAAGGGTGGGGACCGATGTTTCGCTCCTTTCATTATCTCCCTCCTCTTGTACATAGCACTTACTGGTAACCCAAAAACTCACTTCTGATCATATACGCTTTGAACAAAGATAGATAAGCTGACATAAAAATAAGGCTATATAATATAATAACGCTCGCCGCGTCTATAGGCGATCATATACGGTGAGCATCTAACCGCTGGCCGACAGCCGCGGAGCCACAGCCAAAACTGAATCTCGCTTAAATCCCCCCAGAGTTGGCCTGCGTGCCTCCAAACGTCACCGCCTGGGGAACCAGAGAAGCGCTGCGGCTCCAGATACCATCCGGCGCCCAAGACGCTGCCTGGCGCCGCGCAGCCGACACCAGCCGCGCGCAAAGAGGAACTGGCCGAACAGGCCTTTGCCCCTAACCAGTATGGCCACCCCGAGGCTTCGGGTTGAGGGCGGTAGCATGAGGGTCACGTGAGGACAACCCCGTTCCCTTATTGGCTTTCTCTCCTGGAAGGGCGGGGCACCGTCGACCGCGGGGCGGGGCGGCCTTAAAGGGCCCGCCGCTAAGCCCTCCCGAGCTCCGCCCCCGGGGCTGGGCGGGGCCTGCGCGCGGAGGCCGCGTCGGGAGCGGGGCGGGGGAGCCCCGGTGAGCGCCGCCGGCAGCGACGGGAGCCGGAGGGGGTTAACCGCCGAGTCGGCGGGCGGGAGAGCGCGAGGGGCGCGCGCGCGAGCCCGGCTCGGCCGACGGGGGCGCACGGGGGCGCGCGGGCTGGGGCGCGGGGATGGAGGACGCCGTGGCCGGGCCCCGGCTCCGGGCGGCGGCCGAGGCGGCCGAGGCGCGAGCGCAGCCCGGGGGGACGCTGCGGCCCTTCGCGCCGTTCTCGGGGGCGGCCGAGGCCGACGAGGGCGGCGGCGACTGGAGCTTCATCGACTGCGAGATGGAGGAGGTGGACCTGCAGGACCTGCCGAGCGCCACCATCGCCTGCCACCTGGACCCGCGCGTGTTCGTGGACGGCCTGTGCCGGGTGAGGGCCGGGCCGTCGGGCGGAGGGCGGAGGGCGGAGGGCGGAGGGCGGACACTTGTTGCCCGGAGGCGGGGGCCCGGGGCAGCCGGTGCAGCGCGGGTCGCCGCGCGCGGTCCGCTCCCGGGCGGGCGGGGGCGGGGGCGGGGGCGGGGGCGCGCTCCTCGGGGCTCCCGGGGCTCCCGGGTCCCCGAGCACCTGCCGGGCCGCGCGCGCACCCCGAGGCGGGGCTCCGGGCGCCGCGCCGTGGACCGCGGCTGGTCCTCGCCTCCCGGAGACGCGGGTGCCCCGGGGTGGGGGGGCGTGAACCAGCCCCGGGGCTGGGGGGGGGGGCCGGGAGCGCGCACTGCCGCCCCCGGGGACACTTGCACCGTCGCTCTGCGCTTATTAACTCATTTGGGGAAGGGGCCTCCCCTCATTCATCGGGAGCAGGGAACAGACGTGGAGCGGCGACGTGACTCACTGTTCATAAATAGGACAACGTCTCTGCATTCTCAATCTGCACTCTTGGAAGAAAAGCCAATGTTTGGGTGAGGATCTGTGGTTGCTCATTATCCTGTGGCTGGCCAGTTTTGGTGGAACAGTGTTGGGGAGGGCTGGGGGGGCATGGGGAGGGGGAAGGGACCCATTCTCTAGGCCTTTACAATAGTCAGGAATCTTGCTACGTGAAGGGGTGACATGCCACCATCGGGACACTCAGTGCATGAGGAGCTCATATTTTAATTATTATTATTATTTTAAATAGCTACCCAGTTTAGAAACTTAGGAGGGTGAGGGGGCAGGTATGAGTAATCAATGGTGGTGGCGTGGCGGGGAGGAGGAATTTATTTCAGATCTGCAATTAGCGTGCACAATAGAATTTGGACAACGTAGGCATTGCAGAATAAAGCCTGTCTTTGAGAGATATGCCTCAGGAGGAGAGCAGCTGTCAAAAAAAAAAAAAAAAGTGATGCTTTCCATGCTTGGCTCTGGGTCTGCGTATACTGTCAATGAACTTGTAGTTGAACGCCGCTGCCAAGAGGAACACCACTGTAGAACAGAGAATGCGTGCTCGCGTCCCATTTATTTGTGATTTAGGTGCCCATCCACTTTCAGGAAGGATTTAGAGTGGCCGTGTGCTTAGGTAAGCTCCTGTGCATGCTTCCTAAAGCAACAATCGTCGTAATAAACACAGGGTCCCACTCTTCTTATTCTAAGACCTTTTCTCTTCCTGAGGGCAAGGTCTAGCCTGCGTTATCAGGTCTCTTTCCCAGGGGGGTCCCAGGCTGTCTTTCTGATGGAGCAGGGTCAGGTCATGTAAGACTGTGCCTATTCGCTTGGGTGTGTAGCATTTTCATGGTTTTACAGTCTTCCCGATAAGTGTTGGGGACATTCCCGAAATTGCTTTGCATGAAATTTTGTCCACTTTGCAGGCTATACATTTTAACAAGTGTTGGAGACTCCACTTGGGCCAGGCACTGTTCTAGGCTCTGAGGGGGAGAGCAGTGAATGGAATGGCAACCTTGTCTTTGGGGCTCACCTTTTTGTTGGGGGCAACAGACTGTAAACAAATATGACATGTGTCAGGAGGTGAGAGTGCTATAGGAAAAAAGTAAGAGGGAGAAGATAGGGCAGCCCGGGTGGCTCAGCGGTTTAGCGCCTGCCTTTGGCTCAGGGCATGATCCTAGAGACCAGAGATCGAGTCCCACGTCGGGTTCCCTGCTTCTCCCTCTGCCTGTGCCTCTGCCTCTCTCTCTCTCTGTGTCTCTCATGAATAAATAAATTCAATCTTTAAAAAAAAGGTGGGGGGAGAAGATAGGGAGGAGGGAGTGGAGATCTGGGAAGGAAGGGAGGATGATGTTTTATATAAGATGATCAGGGAAGCGCTTGCTAACAAGGTGGTATTTTGAGCGGAGACAGTGGGCTAGCATCCAGACCTTTATTTATTCTTTTGCTATTTATTGAACGCTTACTATGTTCTCGGCAGTGGTGTAAGCCCGCTGGGTAGAGTGTTAAACACGATGAGCCTCCTTCTTATGCTCTAGTGAGTGAGGAGGGGTCAGATAATTGAGAAAAGTAAGTGAATCAGGTAATTTCAGAGAGTGACAAGTACAGTTGAGAGAGTAAAATAGGATAATATGCTAGGGAATGACCAAGGAGGGGACAAGGGCGGAGTCGTATCAGTCCTAACAGGTCCACTGTGGTGGTTCAAGTTAGTAAAGAACAGGTTAATCGGGGCAGGATGGGGGGAGTCCACCAGGGGTGTTGGGTTGAGGGGTAGAAGTAGCTGCCACAGCCCTAGGAGAGCGGCTGCCTGGCAGGAGCCAGGTGTCAGGGGGTGGGATTGAGATGCTAAAGCAGAGTGGCAAGGAGGAAATACCCACACTTGCCCTGGCTTTCTGATCTCTTTGGTGGAACCCAGCTGGCAGCCAGGAGGCCAGGGAGCCCCAGCAATAGGGTCCATAGGTGGGGTCAGCCTTCCAGAGCCCAAAGCAGGGTAGGGATGGCAGAGCGAGGCCCCGGGGACAGTGCAGGCAAAGAGGACATGCAGAGAGGGGTCAGCGTGGGGCCACTTTAGATGGAATGGCCCCAGAAGATCTCTCCACACAGCTTGGACATGCTGGCAGGAAGAAGCTCCTTGTGTAGATTTTGCATGGCCAGCGTCCAGGCAAAGGGAAGAGCAGATACAGAAGTTCCAGGGCCCTGGTGAACTAACCGTATCCAGAGGACATGAAGGGACCATTGTGGCCGAGTGAGAGTAGGGGGTGGCTGAAGGTGGCCAGAGACGAGGAATGGTTCCATGGGGGGGGGGGGGGGGGGACTTGGCAGCCATGGGAGGGGTTCAGATGTTACTTGGTTTTTTTTTTTTTTAAGATTTTATTTATTTATTCATGAGAGGCACAGAGAGAGAGAGAGGCAGAGACACAGGCAGAGGGAGAAGCAGCCACCATGCAGGGAGCCCAAGGGGGGCCCGATCCCAGGTCTCCAGGATCACACCCTGGGCCGAAGGTGGCGCTAAACCACTGAGCCACCCCGGCTGCCCCGGATGTTACTCTTAACAGCAGAGGCTGAGTGGAGAATGTCTCTTGGGGAAGGAGGATGGGTGGTCAAGAGAGGAAGCCAGGAGACCCCTTGGCAGCTCTTGCCTTTCCTTGTCTGTGGGAGCTATGAAGGTGTTTGGATTTGGGAGGAGGTGTTGGAGCAAAGAACAGAGCCTCCGCTTGAGCCTGTCTTCTCCTTTCTAGGGTCAAGAGCTTCAGAATGGGGGGGCGGGAAGCTTTGTGCAGTGTTGGTTGCACATCCATAGGCTCCTGTAAGATGTCAAACTATTGGTGCAGACACAAAATTCACTGGGCTAAGGGAGTCCCAGGCCCTGAAGGCAAATAACTCTGCAAAACTAGGCAGTGAGAGCAGAGATCACTGTGGGGGGCCTTTGGTGAGCCTTCCAGTAAAAAGAATTTCTCATTCCGCTAAAACCATCCCTCTAGGTGGGAAGGAGTGGCTTCCGGCGGCCTTATTATTTTAAAGGCCGTTCTCCTGGAAGCCCGCGTGATCACAGCTTGGGTGGTGTAATGAAAATGTCCTTCTACATCAGGTCAGTTCGGTATTGTCTGACCCCCAAGTGGGCTGACCCCGAAGTGGGCAGATCCAGCCATCACTGCGTTGCTGACCAGTCCCTGTGCTGGGGATCTGGCTGTCCCCTGGGAACCAGTCTCTTGGAGGGTCAGCTGGATGAGTGGCGGTTAGTCTGTTAGGGCTGCTAGAAAGAGACACCACAGACTGGGTGACTTATAAGCAGCAGATATTTATTTCTCACTGTTCTGGAGGCCAGCATGTCCTCTTTCTGGGTTGCAGACCTCTCACTGCCCTTCTGTGGTAGAGGGATGAGGGAACTGGGGGTGCAGGACTTTCTCATAAGCCCTGGTCCCATCCCCTGGCCTCACCTCATGACCTAACACCCCCTACAGGCCTCCCCTCCTCATACCATCACCTCCAGGGGTTAGGATGTCAATGTAAGAATTTAGGGGGAATATAAACATCCATACATGGTAGACGGTGTGAAGGAAAAAGACCAGGCCAGACTCCTTTACCTATGTTCATATTATTCTCTAACCATAGTCTTGATAGTGAGAAATCCATCTGAACCACCAGAGCACTTGGGAATTTCTGACCATAAACAGTTAGGTCTGATAGTTTGTTTTTGTTAGCCGGTTCATCATCAGTGCTGTAAATAATTTATAATAAATGTGTTCATTAAATGCTTATCTAAGAAACAACTGAAATTGTATCATCATTAATTTCAAGTAATATTACTAGAGAGATTCATGCCATTACGAACGAGTGGAAATTTTTATTAAAAGATTGTTTTCAGGGCGCCTGGGTGGCTCAGTCGGTGAAGCATCTGACTCTTGATTTCGGCCCATCATGACTTCAGGGTCATGAGATCAGGCCCTGTGTTGGGCTCTGTGCAGGGTATGGAGCCTACTTAAGGTTCTCGGATTCTCTCCTTCTCCCTCTGCCCCTCTTTCTCCTCTCTTAAAAAAAAAAAAAAAGATTATCCTCTCTATCCTCTCTTGTACAAATATTAGCCTAGCATATCCCATTACTGTTCTCTTTTTGCAAACCTTTTTTTTTTTTTTCCACTGAGAAAGCACAGCAGTGATTTGAACCAAGAATTGCAGGTGCTTTGGCTTGTTGGTGCTGGTCTGTTGGTTTCCTCAAATAAGACCATTTATTCAGTCCTCATCAAGCTCACCAGAAACTTAGAAGTTCTCAGATAATAATCGGTGAGTTTCCGGGCAGCGAGTATAGTTCCATATGGCAACAGAAACGAATACCATTTTTCTTGTTGCCTGAAACATGAATGCATGTTTGATTGATCGAGCTTTGCCCGAAGGCTAAGTCAGAAAATATTAATCATAAGAGAATTTACTCTTCTCTAGTGAATAAACTCCCCTCCCTTAAAACAAATGCCCACTTAAGATTTGTGATACTGACATGCCTTTCTTTGAAAAACGGGAAAT